AGCAAATCTGGTATAGTCATACCTTTCTATTGTTTGACATTGTCCAACCAGTTATTGCGTTGGTGTCCTCTCCTATGTTTACCTTCAACGGCACCTTGCATGATGGCCTTGCACAGGCTGTCATGCCTTTTAATGTGTCCAAACCAAGGCACAACATTATTTCTTTTGAAATGTTTAACAATTACAGAAAGTAAATAAAATTAAGATAAAAAATAACAAGTCTTGAATGAACAACCAAAAAGATTTGATAAATATCATGGATTAGAAATCAATCAAAATTTTCAAAGACTAAAACCATAGATCAATGTTTCTCAACGGTGCGCCCTGAAAATATCCATTTATCTCGATAGAACTGCAAAAGTAAGTATACAGTAATTTTATATATCATTGCTATATTATTATTGACATTTATGTATACTCAATAAAATACGTTTTATACTCTTGTTTTTTATTACTGTATACCTATATTTGCACACACCCCGTACAGAGGTCTAAGGAATGTTTTTAGCCAGGAGAAATAAACTAAATCCAATTTCAAAATTTAATTACGTAAACCCTGCTCAACATAAATAAACAGTATTTGGAACTGGTATAGAGTAGGTCCTCCATTAGTTTCGGGGCTTGTATTCGATTTTCCATGGATTTGATCAAGTTATTATCAATCGCCTGGTCCATATTTTGCCACTCCTTTAGCCATGTTTCTTTAAGGGTTGCCACTGACGTGATTTTGGTTGCAAGCTTTTGAAGTCTTCGCTCAACGTACTCCCAAACGTGCTTTATTGGATTCATATCAGGAATTTAGGCTACCCATGGCAATCATTTGATTCCTTTGCGACTCCTTCCAGGCCTTTGCTACTTTGCTCGTATGACATGGCGATCCATCTTCTTGATAAAGGTAGACATATTTGTCAATCTGATTGGTTTCAAATAATGGGAGTAGACCTTTCTCTAATATTTGACAGTATTTTGGACCATTCAACCACTCGTCAACAAGTATCAGCTCAGATTCTCCAAACCAGACAGCGCCCCACACCATTACCCCAATCCCTCTAGGTTTCACGGTTGTCTGCAGACATTCAGTGTTCCAAATCTCATTCTGATTTCTCGAAAAAATAAACCTCAAATCTCAAATTCAAATATTGGCAGAATTTACTTACATCTGACCAAATTACAGACTGTCAAAATTCATATTCTTTGTTGAAATTTTTGGGTACCCTGGTGTAGTGTGAGCCAGCCAAAATGAGCTGACTCATTTTATAGTTCATCAATAGAAGGGTTAACCAATCAGAAGGCTCAAAATATTCAATGCGACGTGTATAAAGGCAGCCATGTTTTTTTCCGAATATTCATTGCCAACCTCTGATATCGAAGACTGAAGAATTACGGAACAGCTGCTGGTGGTATTGGCGATATAGTCAGATTCAGTAGAGTGTCTAACTCGTGAGTAATAATCTTTAACGTTGTTTCATTGAACAGATTACGTACTGCGCTGTATTCTATATTCATAGACTATGGTGAACATGGTCAACAGAGGTTATGAGCCCAGCACGCTTCCACTGCGCTGTATTCTATATTCATAGACTATGTTAAACATGGTCAACAATCTTTGCTCTCGTATTCTCTCGCTCAGTGCATACGAAGGTTCCTGTTAACCTTCGAAATCAAGGGATTCTTTCTTGCAACACTTCTCTGATAGCCTAGCTCTTTCAGTGTCTTTCTCGCCGCATATGGCGACATTACTATGCTGTTGACGACATCTTTGACGCTCTGATGATGGTTTCTTATGACTTCCATCTTCAGCGCCCTTTTCGATGCTTGGTCTTCCTGAACGTTGTTCCGCGAACTTTCATTGCAAAATATAAGTCAACTATCGTTCACAGATTAGAGTAGCTTGATTTTAAAACGGTTTTTGTCTTAAATAAGAAGAGGCGTTATTACACAAGCCAAAATTGCTGTAATCAAGGGTGGCTAAAAACTTATCATAGCCCACTATACATTCTATCTTTGATATCGAGCAGTTTCACCCCCATATATATATATATATATATATATATATATATATTGAGAAAATTGCCGATATAAAATAAATATGACGAGATATACAAAATCAATAAAACAAAGAAAAAATAGAGAAAATAAAAGAAACTACAGTAAATAAAAGGAATGAATTGGTTTCTAACTGTCGTCATAGAAGTAAATTTTAACTGATATAATATTGTTTCTGTTGCAGTTTTTTGGGTATTATGTACTAGCCAGTTAAAATGACTTGGCTCATTTTATAGTCCACCAAAAGTAGGGTTAACCAATCAGAAGACGTAGAATATTCAATCCGTCGTGTATAAAGGCGGCCATTTTTGTTCACTCTACCCGAATGTCCGGTGCCAGCTTGTCAGGCGAAGAGGAACAGAAGGACGAACTACGCTCTGCTACCTTTACCAAAAATATCCACTGCTAACCCGAACAACGCTTCCCTAATGTCTTCGAAATATTCACTGCTAACCTCTGGATTCTATACTCAAAGACGACCGTCATCATGAACAACAGTTTCAACTTCGCACATTCACTTATCTACTATATGCGCTTTTCCCATAAATATAGAATACATTAAACTATACTTTTATCTCATATATATATATATATATATATATATTACATGAATCATTTATACAAAAAGTAGATTAATAAATTTAATGATATAAATGGTGAAAAACATCTTCGCAAACAAATTTATTAATTAATTTATTATTATCGAAATATTATATGAATGATTCAGGTAATATAAATTAAACTGCACCACATATTTGCTTTAAAAGAACTGATCCGACGTGAAAATTTCCGGGATAACAACTGAGACATTACTCTATTTATTGAACAATTTAGTTCATGTCACATTGGTTGATAAACTCCTACAACCAAAAAAATTCTCAAATTGCCATATTAGTAAAAAAAAAAAGCACTCTCTTCAATTTTCAAAAAATTACAGCCTTAGCGTTGCAACTGCACGCTCCAAAATTTCTTATCCATTAATAATAACACATTTCTAAAAAAACATATTTCGATTATCATTTAATCTTTCGTGTCCCGCTACTACCTGGATTTACTAAAAAAAACAAATTAATTTCCATGCCTGAGGATGGTTGTAAGTACAGCTGAAAGTACCAGCAAAATAAAAAAAAGACCTTATACAACTTGAAGTTATGAAACACAAGGATCATAACATTCATCGGGTGGTTCGTAGATTAATGTAACTTTAATAAATTTGTTTGCAAAGATGTTTTTCGCCATTTATATCATTAACTTTACTAATCTACTTTTGGTATGAATGATTCATGTAATATAAATTGAACTGCATCACATATTTGATATATATATATATAATATATATATATATATATATATATATATATATCGATAGAAAGAGAGAGAGTGAGTGAGAGAGATGTGTGTTGTGGTTTAATGGATAACAGCTCGGACAGAAATCGTACAGCCGAGTTCGAATCACAGTCGACTTAGATTCACCTGCGTGCAAACACCCTTCTTATCCCTTAGCCATGAGAGGAGAACAGATGGTTCTTTAGCCTTGACTAAAACAACTCTACCACAATAATTAATGGCAACCTATGCGGGAAAAATATGGCCTGTCAGTCAAGTATCGAAAGATATATGATCTCCCAAACGTGTATCACGTTTGACTGAATATTGATATATATATATATATATATATATATATATATATATATATATATATAGAGAGAGAGAGAGAGAGAGAGAGAGAGAAAGAAAAAAAGAAAGAAAGAAAGAAAGAAAGAAAGAAAGAAAGAAGATGTGCACATCTTCTATGAGAATTTCACGAGAACGTCCCTCTGCACAGAAATAAGCTAGGAATTTACTTTGAACAGTCTTAACCTTTTAGCCTATAGTGCATTTTGATTAAGTTAAACCCAGATCTTGGAATGTCGTGATGCAGCTTTTACAGTGTTTTTTTGGGGGGTGGAGGAGGCAAATTTCAACAGGACTCATCTAGAAATACTGCATATGGTTATGCGACCCTACACCCGCATCTTATAGATTGGTGGTGTATTTTTCTGCATTATAACCTTTTGAAACACGGCTCCCCACTTGTCATGGCCGAGATTAAATTTGAAATTGCTACGATATATGATAAGATAATACCACAGGGACGGCGTGTTGACAATGTCTCATCACTAAGGAAGCAATTAAATCTGAATGTATTCCGGAATATCGACACAAATTGCTTCAAAAGCCGAACAACAGCCTAAAAATTCGAGTCAGGTTCGTAAATAGACTCTTGAAATGGAGATAAATGTCATGTATGGCGTGAAATTAGTTTAGAGATATCTAGAATGCCAGAAATATCTAGAATGCCAGAAATATCTAGAATGTGAGAAAAATTTAAAATGCCGGAAATATCTAGAATGCCAGAAATATCTAGAATGCCAGAAATATCTAGAATGTGAGAAAAATTTAGAATGCCAGAAATATCTAGAATCCCGGAAATATCTAGAATGTCAGAAATATCTAGAATGACGTTCTATTTAATTGTTTGAATATTGTAGTTTTCAAGGAAGCAAGAAATTGGGAGTTCCACGGGTGGGAAGTGTGAGAAAAGAAACTGTTACAGTATAAGTGGTGGTTACATCAGCTAGTTCAACAGTAAAACCTAACTGCCAATCCGGTAGACCGCTTAAATTCATGTCGTCGGGGTACCAAGGATAAAAGCTCGTCAGGGCAGAAAACAAGAAAATATTTGTAGAAAAGACAGAGAGAAGCTACACCATGTCGATGAGAAAGCGACTAAAGTCGAGATTTTGGAGATTTTTAAATGTGCAAGATGGAATCTGACGAGAAAATTTTCTGACACGACACAATGACCGAAATTTCCTTGCATTAGATTAGGGCTATTCATTCGCACCACTTCAGGTCAGTGGGAAAACGTGAGGCTAAGAAGATGTAGAAGGATAGATACGACGAGACTGGGATCAATAGGTATGAAAAGACTGAGATAGATAGATAGATAGATAGATAGATAGATAGATAGATAGATAGAACAGACAGATATGAACACAGATAGATAGATAGATAGATAGATAGATAGATAGATAGATAGATAGATAGATATGAAAAGACAGACAGATAGATGGACAGATAGATAGATATGAACAGACAGACAGATAGATAGATAGATAGATCAGACATAGATATGAACACAGATAGATAGATAGATATGAACACACAGACAAACAGACATATATGAAAAGACAGACAGATAGATAGATAGATAGATAGAACAGACATAGATATGAACACAGATAGATAGATAGATAGATAGATAGATAGATAGATAGATATGAACACACAGACTGACAGACAGACAAACAGACATATATGAAAAGATAGATAGATAGATAGATAGATAGATAGATAGATAGATAGATAGAACAGACATAGATATGAACACAGATAGATAGATAGATAGATAGATAGATAGATAGATAGATAGATAGATAGATGTTGCTTACCCCATCTTCACAGTTCACTGCCATCTTGCCCATCAACACCTACATTCAATCTAGATCATTGTTTCCTTTCGAATGACTTCAAAAGGGCCTATTCAAACCATCAACTGATTTGCAAGGCCTATAGCACAGATGACACATCTGCTCCAGTGTCTTCACAGGTTTAAGCGGATGTTACTGTGGTGTCATACTTGTGTACCACCATATGTCACTTTAATCCAGAAGTCGATTCCTTGCAGGTCACAAAAATAGTATCACTGGGTCGTAGAGGTAACACAGAGTGAGGTCGTCTCTCATGTGATTACAGATGATTAATATACCCAGCTTATGGCAGTAGGATACGAAAACATGTCTGGCATTTCCAGCTTGCAGTGCCGTCATCCAAGCTCCTGGTAATATTTTTCCTCAAATCCCTTTAATGTGCTGCATGTGCTAAATTCTTTTCCTTTACTGCCATATTTATTACAACGTTTCGGTCGTTGTACGCTCCGGCATTCTTCAGGTGGTTGGAATATCGAACTGAACCTTTTATTTCGCTCGCTGGTGTAGACTGTTCTAGTTCCACGTGCCATGTCTAATGGATGTCAGTTATCAGTTATCTCCTGTTAATTCCTCTCTCCAAGTTCTCCACTAACTTAACCAGGTATTGAACTCACACTCTTTGGGTAATGTCACTTGATCTAACTAACGTCTTTTTCTACTGTGCCATGTGTTTTTTCTCAGTTTTTTTTTTTTTTTTTTTTTTTACATTCTCAATAACTGTTTGTGTCTTAGTTGATTTATCGCCTTGCTTCGGGGGAAACGGCTAAAATAGCACAAAAAGGAAAGGAAAGGAAAACAAATATTAATAATGATTGGAAAATTCGAAGGTAACGGGGAAAACTCTTTTGCTTAAAACACTATGAGTTTCGAGAAAAATTATTTGAAAAATACAGAAACGTGCATGTGTGTCTATATGTGTGTGTGTGTTAATACCACATCATCATTTTTTCTGCAGTGCGTGACGGGCTTATCATTTTTCTCAGATGGACGCCAAATGACGCTCGTGAACACCCCACCTTCCAGTCTAACGTCCTTTGGTTTTTAATTAGCCGCCTACTAACCAGATACCTTCCCGTCGGCTTCACACGTGACCTGTCATCACGAAAAAAAAGTTTCAACGATTTATCTCGTAATGTATGCCAAAGAGAGGCTATAACACACACACACACACACACACACACATATATATATATATATATATATAATTTATTCGAAAATTATTACATAAACATGTTATAAAATCACTTCAAAAATAGTCATTTTGTTTCAACACTTATGCTGTCTTATCAAGTGATGGTGTTGAATGTAGAAGAAAGGCTTTTAAAAGGTTCAAATCGACAAAATCTGTAATGACCAATTAAAATACAAGTATATGAGAATTTAAAAAACTTGATAATGAACCTTAGTTATAATAATTAATGCTTTAATATTAGAGTTAGACTAAAATAGAAGTCATTCCATGTAATTGATATTAAATTTTACTATAAAATTGAAAATTAAAATTACCAATTTTAAATTTTAAATTTAATCTGTATTAAGTTTAAAAGATGAAACTGAGGAAAAATACATATATTTTATTATTTATTTAGTTTTAATTGAAAGGCTTAATTGAAAACTCAGAATAAAGGTTAAAATCTAATATCGATGCAAAGCTTCGTTACAACTTAGATACATTTGATGTGGGGACATGGGCAGGTGAGACAATACATACACAATCAGATTATAACACACAAACACATAGACATATTTAGATATATAATCACGCAAAACACGGACGAAACAGAAAATAGATGTCCACGACCCTTAAAAGAAGAAAAAAAAGACTCTGTATTGAGCACTATTTTAAGAATAGTATTTTTTTATATATATATTATAAATTAATTGATTTAAAATATGTTTTTTTTCGCTACACAGTTCTAACCATGTTTCAAAAATGGAAGCTAAAAGCCCCGAATTTAATTTTGTAATTAGATTAAAGACATTAGTTCCATTTCATCCTCAAGCGAATTTTGGAGTAACTTTCAAAATTACTGGGTTTTAGTTACACAGCTAAAACATAATTCAGGTTTCCAAGGTTAGAGATAAATACATTTTACTAGACTAGGGGTGTCTGGGTGTTCAATATGTCTATATTTTAATGTATCAGTTATTGCTACGTTTTGGTAGTGGGTAGGGATGTATTTTTCAATGAAATCTAACATCCGTTAAAAGCGTGTCGTCTGGATTTTTTTTAAATTTTACTGTTAACGGCAAAAATTATTACGGCATTTTTTTCCTTCGTATATTTAAAGATTTTTTGGGGGGGGTAGGTTAGAATACTTTTTATTTAACTACGATTTGAAATATTTTTACTTTTAATTTTTAATATAATATATTTCTTTTGAGAACAATTACATGTAATTAGAATCCCTTACAGTTTGTAGAATTATTATCACATCAAGTATATTACGATTTTTAAAAATTATATTTAAATATTATTTAAGTAAATTTTCAACAGATTCAACAGATCTCCTGATTTTGAAAGTATATATATATATATATATATATATATATATATATATATAGTTTATAAAAAACTAGGTAATCCGTATGGGTAAACCTAAGGAGGATACAATCCAGAGAGCTCAATGTAAATCCAGATAAATAATTTAATAAAAAGACCACTTTTGTTAGATAATAATATATTTCACCAGTTTTAGTGATCGGATCATCAGATTTTACATCCAAAAAAAAAAAATGTTTTTGCTTGGGGTGAAGTCTGATGATCCGCAGTCCTTTAAAAGGCTGTGGTGAAATAATTTATTACATGGGACCTTAAAGTGGTCTGTTTTTATTTAATATATATATATATATATATATATATATATATATATATATATATATAGTCATTCACAGACAGATGGTTTCGCTGTATCGCATCTCATCAGTGTGGCTAGACATCCGATTGTTTCAAGACCCGATCAAAACTCGACTGATTTGGCATCAGTCGGAGTTTTTTCCCACTAAGCCATCGGTGTACGGTTGAAAGAAAGGCGAATTTTTACGTACTTACTCTGTGAATAAAAACGCCAATGACTGACAGGGAAGAGTCTTGTAATATTACTAGTTGTAGTCATCATTATTTTGCAATTCGCTCATATCTTCCATGAGTGCAGAACCGAAATTAAGCTTTTCGTGTCCGTATATATATATATATATATATATATAGAGAGAGAGAGAGAGAGAGAGAGAGAGAATGTAACAGTAAAATTGTCCAAATCGTGTAACAACAACATTTTTTTACAGGTTTTCAGATAAAGTGGTCAGCCATCTTGACACCATTTTTCGTAAGAATTACTGAAAAACCCTTTGAGTTATTCCGCTAAAATAGAGCAGGTTAAAATCGGTTAGTTTCAGATCAAGTGTCTTCCCAACTGAGCAATGGTGAGAGGAAAAAGATCATTCAGGCCTTCAGTAATGGTACCAAAATTCATACTCTGGCTTCCGTCTTCAAAGTCCGTTCAAGAACCATCAAGAGAATGGTGAGTGAATAAGTTTTTCTTTTTTTTTTTTTTAAATTATTTCATCATTATTCGTGAGATGTTGATATAAAGAGATGGTGAATGCGGTTATAAACAAAGATGTGGTAGGAAGCAGCGGGATTTTTATACAAGTCCTTCACGCCAGAAATTATTCAGATGCAAGGAACACATATTCTCCAAGAAGAACAAAATTATCAAAGACAAAAGCATGCTTTTACTGAATTCTATTGTGTTCTCTGACTGTAGCGTGGGACATGAGGGGGCGCAAATCCCTAGGTTTCTTTGTTTCTTGTTGATGTTATCTGCTAACCAAACACGTCTTCAGCAACAAAGATATTTTATTTAAGCGTTTCACCCCAAGCAAGGCGGGAAGCCGGTAGCACTCAAGGGGTTACAGAGAGTTGGAGCGAGAGCAAAGAGGAGTGATAGAGGAAAGGATGAAGAGAAGGTTAGGAGGATAGATCAAGGTAACTAAAGATGTCGATTGACATTACATTTGAATAGTTGGAGATTATAGCTATCAGGGAAACAGGAAGAGGAGAGGGAATTCCACAGGCGAGAAGTGCAAGACATGAAGCTATTGGAGTAGAAGAGACGGCTACATTTAACAGTTTCGGCAGTGAAAGGGTGAGACAAGATGCCAGCCTAGTTGAACGCTTAAATTCATTAAGTCTGGGAACCAGCGAAAGCAGCATATCGGAGCAGTTACCGTGAAAGTATTTGTAAAAAAGACAGAGGGAGGCAATGGCAGGTCTGTGTGAGAGCGGCTGCAGACGAGATGCCAGATCAGGGCCAATTACATTGCATATCCGTCTCTGGATCTTATCAAGAACCTTGAGACAAACAGAAGGGGCACAAGACCATATATGGCAGCAATACTCCATGCAAGGGCGAATGGTTGATTAGAAGGATTGATTTGAAGGATTGACTCCGGCGAGAAAAATTTCCTGGCACGGCACAGGGAGTCAACTTTCCTTGCGCTGGACGAAGCTATTGAAACTATTAAAAAATTTGGGTTTATGTAGATTGCGTGTATTGGTGTTATTGGTGCAATCTACATAAACCCCAATTTTTTAAAACATTAATCAGTTTGTCTGAAGATCGCTAAAGCGTGAAACCCAGGGTCACAAACTCACATCAATCCAACCAAATATGTTAGCTCTATCTCTGATATTGAGCGCCTTAATAAGTACTGCGCATATAATATATAAATAATTATACATATATATATTTATTTATATTATATACATTTTCACATATATATATATATATATATATATATATATATATATATATATATATATATATATAGAGAGAGAGAGGAGAGAGAGAGCGAGACTGAAGGAGGGAAGAGAGAGAACATGTGCCTCTGTCAGACCAATTATGCGAATTATAAAACGTCAGATTAAACTGCATCCGACAAATACACGGTGCTCGATCGAGTTTAATTGACGCCGCGTCGCGATAAAGCGCGAATCGACATTCGCTTGCGGTGCCGGTGAGTACCGACAGATAAGACTGTTCGCCGAAACACCCGCTCGCACATCCGTCGATGCCACCGACACCCAGGAAACACCTACCCGACCACCCACTTGCCCTACTCGGTCCGAGTTTCACTTTCGCTCACAGCGCCTTCTGCATCGCCCGTGTAAATATGTCGACAACGAGGTAACGTATATTCTGCGCGCCTCTTCCTCACTACTTCTCTCTCTCTCTCCCATTCTCTCTCTTTCTTTCTCTTTCTCTCTCTCTCCCATTCTCTCTCTCCCATTCTCTCTCTCCTATTCTCTCTCTCCCATTCTCTCTCTCTCTCCCATTCTCTCTCTCTCCCATTCTCTCTCTCCTATTCTCTCTCTCTCCCATTCTCTCTCTCTCTCATTCTCTCTCTCTCTCTCTCTCCCATTCTCTCTCTCTCCCATTCTCTCCCTAGGAATATTTTAGTCTTTTGTACTTTCGACACTCCCTCCCCCTTTCTCCCTCCCTCTTCCTTTCACGCTCTCTCTTTCTCTCCACCTTTCACTCTCTGGAATATTTTACATTTTGGACTTTTCAGACTCTCTCTGTTTCCCTTTCACACACACACACACTCTCTCTCTCTCTCTCTCGATCCCCTTTTCTCCCTCTCTCTTTCTCTTTCTCTGGAATATTTTAGCATTTTGGTCTTTCCACCTCACTCTCTCTCACCGTTTTACGCTCTCTTTTTCTTTCGACACCCTCTTTCTCTTCCTCCCTGGAATACTTTAGCCTTTTGGTTTTTCAGCCCCCACTCACTTTCTGTTTCTCTCATTGCCTCTTTCTCTTTCGACCTTCTCTTTCCACCCTTTTACACACACACACACACACACTCTCTCTCTCTCTCTCTCTCTCTCTCTCTGAATATTTAACCTTTTGGTCATTCGACTCCCCTTCTTTCTCTCTCTCTCTTCCTTACATTCTTTCTCTTTCTGAAATATTTTAGCCTTTTGGTCTTTCGACCCCACTCTCTCTGTTCCTTGCACTCTCTCTCTCTCTCTTTCGACCCCATCTCTCCCCCTTCACATACTCTCTCGCCCTCTCACTCTCTATCGAATACTTTAGCCTTCTGGTTTGTCGAAATTTCTCTCTCTCTCTCTCTCTCTCTCTCATTCTCTCTCTCTCTCTCACACACACACACACACACACACTCTGGAATATTTTAACGTTTTTCTCTTTCGACCTCCCCCGTCTCTCTCTCCCACTCTCTCTTTAAAGATATTTCCTTCTTGCAGCTTGCTCGCGCCATATTGTTACTTCTGAGTTGTACCCAACATGCCTCCCGAAAAATATAAATAAAAGTACTTTGCCCTGAGCATTTGTCATAGAAGGAGATATCACTAAGCAAAAAGTTGTGTTTTATTTTTATTTTTTTGTTTATTTTGTCTGTCTTTGTTTTTTCCGTTTTCATTTACGAACGATAAGGCCAAGAGTTTCTATGCAGAAAACAATGTCCATTAACCGAACAGTTAACATTACCGTTGGTTTAACGTTACCGTTAGTTTAACATTATAAAGTAATTCTCAGTATTATGGAGGTGAGAATAGGTTTCACAGGTTCACAAACTCTTATCGATTTTTCCAGTACAAACGGGAGTCACTTTCTAACATGTTGTTTAAGATAAAAGGAAAAAAGAAAGTTTGAGAAATGCGATAATCCCAGGACAGTTTGAAGACAAGAGGGACAGAGGAAATTAATACATGATATTCCTAGTGAGTTTGATTAAATCGATGGCGGAACAGAGTTTGGGAGAAATAACAAATAGACAAAATTTATTAAGAGCTACAAAAGAGTGGAAATTGTGAAGAGCCATGATCGCCTACGTCCTTAAGGGGCACAACACATAGAACAAGAAGAATAGATTGTCAACTAAGTTATCATCGAAGAGAAGTAGGACAGAGAAAAAAGATTTAGGAGAAATAATAAAAAGACAAAATATATTAAGTGCTTCAAAGGAGAGGAAATTGTGGAGAGCCATGACCGCCTACGTTCTGAAGGCACACTGCCTATAGAGGAAGAAGAATGAGCTTGAGTAAATCAATGGCGGAACAGGGTTTGGAAGAAATAACAAAAAGACAAAATTTATTAAGAGCTACAAAGGAGAGGAAATTGTGGAGAGCCATGATCGCCTACGCCCTGAAGGCACACTGCATATAGAGGAAGAAGAATAAGCTTGAATAAATCAATAGCAGAACAGGGTTTGGAAGAAATAACAAAAAGACAAAAATTATTAAAAGCTACAAAGGAGAGGAAATTGTGGAGAACCATGATCGCCGACAACCTGTCAGGACATTTTCACTTGATGTAGTATTGTTATTTGATAAAATTCTGTGATTCATCCCTTAAAACAATTGTTTTTTTTTTTGGCGAAAATAGGTTTGTCAAGTTTACAAACTATTATGGATATTTCTAGTATTGGATGGGAGTTTCCTTCCCAACGTTTTGTTTAAGGTAATGGGGAAATCTAGCATCTTGACTATATTATTATTATTATTATTATTATTATTATTATTATTATTATTATTATCCCTTGTAGTTAAGATTGCCATCTATTTTTATCATTACTGCTATTGGAAGTGTTCCTTTGATTTAGTCCTTCTTATTTGCTAAATTTGTTTACTTGTGATTCTGTACAGCAAGTTTGCATGACGCGGCAAAGTACATTCCTCTATCCGTCAGACACAAGGTGTTCGTCCACTTGTAGCTATTTTTAATCATTGAATCTGAGAAAGTGGTTGTAGACACTTAACAGTTTAGGCATTTCTGGACGTGTTGGTCGCTATGCGTACCATCCATCTGTTTTGTGATAAACTTTTCACACTTTTGTGATGTCAACGAACACTCGTTGACACTTTTATGATGTCAACAAATATTCGTTGTCACTTTCGTAATGCTCGTTGTAGTAGAGACTTTGTAATCGCAGATGCAACTATAGTAACGCCGTTGAGCAATACTGGTGTCAGACGCCTTCGAATATCACTCGCACTAATACTACTTGCTCGATAATACTCGTCCGTAAAGTAAGCACCGAATAGTGATCCGAATAGAGGAATAGTATAAGTGAATAGAGTAGATAATATTACAAACTAGAAATGCCGAGCCGAGGACAGACTAGAATAAATCGAATTGTATAGTATTAGAAGAGAAATGGTGATCAATTAATCACAAAGGTTTTTCCTCTGTGGTCACTTCGTCTACTTAATTTAATAATTGGATCGCTTGTGTTTGCACACTGGCGATCTATGTTCAAACTCAAGTGTCGGCCGCGACATTTTATTCCTATATTACACAAGCAAATATATAAATTTAATTCTCTGGGAAGTTTTATAACAAAAGGCGGAAAATGAGGCACAGAAATCCGAAGTTGGCGCAGGAAGAGCAGAAAATTATTTACCAAATATAAAGAAAAGAAAAAATCCGACAGAAACAAAGAAATTGAGATAAGAATGACAATAGGAAAAAAAATCTCAGTTTTTTGGGGGGTTTTTTGCCAACGCGTTTCGTCTTCCGACTTTATCAAGACATGTTTTTGTTTTCATAGTTCCATTAAATCTAAAATTCAAGAGAGAGATTCTTTTGCGTAAGTATCTTTCTGCCTAACGTTAACTTCCTTTATGTTAAAACAATTAAGCCTCTACATGCCCCAAGTATAAAGCCACCATTTGGCTCAACATTTAAGCCACTAAATGGCCCAACAATTAATCCTCTTTTGCGTAAGCCTCTTTCTGGCTAATGTTAACTTCTTTTATATTAAATTAACTAAATCTTGTGACGTCAACAATCCCTCGTTGCCACTTTTGTGGTGCCAACGAATACTCGCTGTCACTTTCGTAATGCTCGTTGTAGTAGAGACTTTGTAATCGCAGATACAATTCTAGTATCGCCGTTGAACAATACTGGTGCCAGACGCCTTCAAATAACACTCGCACTCATAGTACTTGATCGATAATACTCGCTCGACAAGTATCCACCGTATGGTGATCTGAATAGTAACCCCTAAAGTGATCAATTATCTTGTCCTGATGTTACATAAAAGTTTCCTTCATATTTGCTTACATGTTTGGTCCATGGTATCCTCATCATCCTACTGCAGAACCACATTTCTGTTGCTTCGAGTCTGTTCCCCATCTTTGAAGAGTTTTGTGATGTCAACGAACACTCGTTGCCACTTTCGTAATGTCAACGAATATTCGTTGTCACTTTCGTAATGCTCATTGTAGTAGAGGCTTTGTAATCGCAGATTACAACTATAGTAACGCCGTTGAACAATACTGGTGCCAGACGCCTTCGAATAACACTCACTCAATTAGTACTTGCTCGATAATACTCGCTCGAATAGTAACCACCGTATTGATCCGAATAGAGAATAATGTAGAGAAGAGAGTAAATAATAGTGGTCCGTATAGTAATAGAGGATAGCCTAGAAATAGAGATCCGTATTGTATAGACAATAGACTAAAAATACCGATCAATCTAGACGTAACGCGACTTCCTATATATGCGTTTCCTCTATGGTCACGTGGTCCACTTAGTTCAATAATGGGATCGCCTGTGTTTGCTCACTGGCGATCTATGTTCATATTCAAGTGTCGGCAGCCACATTTTATTCCTATATAACAACGTGAAGGTCTCGAGCAATTCTATTTAACTATTTGGTCTAAATAGATCTGTGTATGTGTTGTGCCATAGTACCTATTCTTTGGTAATGGACTCTCCCATAGATAATAAGTAGCAGTGGCAAGTCTGGCAGAATGATGTTGAGCGGAATCAGTCGAGATTCGGACATTTGAAGTACCAACCATCATAACTAGATTTGCTGCGTCATTTACTATTATTTTCCAAGTTCCTAACGTTTTGTACGTCGGACCTAATTTAGGACGACTTATGGAAATACAAGTCTCCACTGTGAAAATACTCCACAACAGTATGTCACACACCGATTTTATTAATGACCCTTGCGAACTCCAAGAGAACATCATTACAGGGTAGCAACCAACTTATCCCACAACCGGCTGAGTGGATGGCGCAATAATTTTATGCAGGAACTCGACCGACAATCCCAAGCATGGGCAACCTTTTTCGAACAGTGGGCCGCATGATAAGGTCGGCTGTTACTATTAAAAGGAAGGTTTTTTTTAAAAAACTAGCAGACTTCGCACGCTCGCTATCGCTTCGAAAAGTAAGATATATCCACAACTTGAAATCTTTGAATCAAGAAATCTAAATTCATAAATTGGCTTGTTATAGTTAATGATGATTTCTATTTTTCTTAATGGCGAAAATACCCATTTATCAGTCGTATATCAGGCCCAAGTAGAACCAACCGTAAACGTTTTCAGGTTAGAATAAATTATCATGAAAGAAAAAGTATCCCATTAACTTATAGAATGCATTTTCAGCATTTTCAGTTCAGAAAATGTTTCCAAAAGAATCTCACACAAAATTAAATTAAAGGCAAATATGTGTCATCAATTTTTGAATCAAAACAAACAACAGACAAAGGAATGAAAAAACATTCATTTTTGTTCATCCAAAGTTATAAATCTTCTCTTCTTAGAAACTCTACACTGTTTTTGAAAAGGTTGGTCTCTTTTGATGCTCCAGCAGAAATCGGCCATCATGTTAACATCCAATCTGCAAAGTGCCTAGTTGGCTATGCCTATCTGGTGTTTGGCGACTATTTTAAGCCCTGATAAAGAAAATTCTAATCTTGCTAGTCTCAAATGCGCTCGCCTAGCACCCTAACAACCCTCATTTTATCGATGTCCTTGTGCAGAGATTGCATGACAATACCAAACCTCCGTAAATTCAATGATATTCTAAAATCTTATGAGAGTTTCAGGCTTAAAGTGAAATCAACTTATAAAAACTA